CAAACAGCACCCCTAAGAGCCCGTACAGGCTACCTAACAGCTTGCAGAGCCCACCTGAGTCCAAATAGATCACCTGAGAGCTGCACAGCCCCCCTGAGAGCCCATACAGACCACCTCAGAGCTGCACAGGCCCCCTGAGAGCCCTTATTGACCCACCTGAGAGCCCTTATTGACTACCTGAGAGCCGCACAGCCCCCCCGGAGAAAGCCCACACAGCGCCCCTGAGAGCCTGTACAGACCACCTAAGAGCCTGCAGAGGTTGCAATTGCAGGGTTGGCACTTTGAAATACATAAGTTGATTTAGTGATCCAGTTTGGACACTCGGGCTCCAAAAGGTTCACCATCACTGGTATAGTGTATGGGCAGCTTTAAAGCTTATGGCATTGTAGTAATGCTCTTTAAATGCGTAGTGTGTGAACCATTTTTTTGGCAGCCCTTTACAACATTTAGTAGTGCATTGCTGCTTGATGCAAATGACACCTCATTGCAATAACGCATTTAATCTGCATTGCCGTAGTGCGCAGTAACACATGCCTTACGGCAACATCATACTGTGAATGGCCATGTGACACACCGCTTTCTTCACAATAAGGAAAACAAGACAAAACAACCATATACAATGGTCACATCTAAATACTTTAATGCAAACTTGGCAATTATGAACTTTATTCATAATACTAATTCAAACAGCAACAATAACAATCTGCTTGATGGCCACTGGGAGGCGCCCTGCTCTTATTTCCTGCAATAGAGTCACTATCGCCACCTAGCGACCAAAGCCGAAACGGCACCGTGATAGCACGCACGCGCAGTCCCGTCTTTTCTGCGCTCGCTCCTGTGCATACTGGTACGTGGTCGCCGGCCTCGGGTTTCAATCCCCAGGCATGTCCCGCAGGGCCTTGAGGAGGCTGCGCGGGGAGCAGAGGGGCCAGGAGGAGCCGGGGGGCCCCGAAGACGCTGAGGAAGAGGAGGAAGTTCCACTAGCTGAGCCACGGAACAGGAAGAACCGTGGGAACCGCAAACTATTGGAGGAACGCGGTCTGAGTAACCCATTCCAGTTGGTGTGTACTGACATCTAGTGGGGGAAAGGGGGGACTGCAGACGGTAGAGGGGAGACGTGACTTGTAGGGGAGTCTCTGAGTTCCAGATGGCTGGGGATGAACTACATATCCCAAGAAGTAATTTATTGTGGGTGTGCAGGTTATATTACTGAGCTCTTTCCTGCTTCTGCTTCCAGCTGTCAGGGCATGCTGGGATATGTAGTTGCAGCTGCAAGGCCTTTGGCCCCATTCACACTTGGAATTGGGAGAGACGTATCGCTATAAGATACACAATCACTATACAAAGCAATGACAGCTGGCAACGCCCTCATCTGTCCAACCTGTGGACTTTCACCCAATCACAAAACTGAGTTCCGAGCAGGCACTTACAGGGACAGACCAATGGGGGTCCTGCAGGGGGTCCCAATGTGTCCGTCAATTATTATGTCACATGTAGAAACAAGAGAACGTCCATCTAGTTCCTAGTAAGAGCAAGCACAGAGCAGCAAAATGACACTTGTTGGGTATTTGTGATATAAATTACATACATAAATGTTATTGGAAGTGTACACAGGTCAGTACTCTTGCTGACACTGACATCCTAACATCAGTGTAGCAAATGGGGCAGTTTTCAGCAAAATCGGGTCATACAACCTGATTGTACAAGCTCATGAGACTTGTAGTTGCACAATAGCTAGAGTACCGAGCTTGCCTGTGCTCTGTGCCGTCTGGTTGTACAATCTCCTTTTAGATCTACCATCATCTAGGTATTGTGAGACGGTCTCTGTGATTTGATACAAATTGAATGGATAAGATTTTTACCACGAATTGTATAGTTTTGGTAATTCTAAGGCTCAACATACATGTTACAATCTGACCATACAGTCTCTGTGCAATCAGTGTTAGATTTCCCAAAACTATGTAATATGAGGGCCTACAGCTGTTTACAGCCAGGCAGGCTCTTGCACGACATGCTTTCTCACAGATCTAAAGGAAACTGTACAATCAGATTGTAGTTTGGGTGGTGATGAGGAGATTGTACAATCAGATTGTGTGCGGCCAGCTTTTAACCCCTTCATGACTGAGGCCTTTTTTTCATTTTTTGTACCCATGTTATATTCCACATTTTAGGCCTGAAAATTACTTAAAACCCAAAATTTCTGAATGCCAAGACCCTATAGAATAAAATGGTGATAGTTGCAAATTTTTATGTTGCGCAATATTAGCGCAACTCCTTATTAAACCCCAATATTTAGTGAAAAATGTAATTAAATGCCCCAAAACACAACAAAATACCCATTTTTTAAATGAAATATAAAAGATGAGGTTACAACGAGTAAAACGATACCCAACATGCCCAAGTTACAAATTGCTTGCGTCCATAAAACGGCGAAAAACCCCAGTTAGACCCTGTCAGCACAGTGATAGGAAATTTCTACAGATTGAGAGAAATTCTACTCTTAGTTTTCACCGGAGGAAGTGTCCCATTAGAAGATTTCTGCTTTATTCCTGTTCAAGTGACAGCGCAACATGTTAGATTTTCCCCTCAGTTGTAGCCCCCAGTCACACCTGTGTAGCGCATTATCACGAAACAGGTGACAAATGTGAGTTGTGCTTGTGGGCATGCTGCAATTATTTCCTGTGCTCCTCAGCTCCATCTAGTGGCTGTAATGGAATATTTTCCTGATATTACATTCGATTTGGAAAGAAAATATACTAAGAATGTTCAATTTTGCCACCAATCATACAGAATGGACGTTCACAGAGATTCTCAGTGTGAATGGCTCTGTGAATTGTTTGTAAATGGACCCCATAGTTTTAGTTCTCTTTTGGGTCACAGGAGAACATTTTACTAATGTCCTCCTGTGATCCCAAGTCAGCATATAGCGGGCTGCTGCCTGCTATTTGCTGACAGCGCAGAGCTGCACTTCTGCCAGGAAAGATCCTGACAGTATTGTCGGGATCCACCCCACTGCCTGATTGACAGCTGGCTCTCCCTCTCTAGAGCCACAGCGCGCTTTGACGCCTTGGGTGATGGGAGGACGCTAGTTTATGTCCTCCCGTGACCGTGAAGAAAACGATGGGGAAAAACACTTACCCCATAATTCTCCTTTTAAGTGTTGGGAAGATTATATTTTACTCCCCAATACTTCTCCTTTAATGCCTCTTTAGAATCATTTGTCAGTTGTGTCAAAAATGCGCACCTCTTTATTTTTGTTCTCAAAACAGTGTCCCTTTTCCTTAAGGTGCCCTATGTTGGGCCATCCGTTCAGAGATTGCTTTGTCTCCCCAATATACAGGTCTTTGCATTTTTCATCTCCTCCTATGTGTGAATAATGATATGAGATTAATGTATTTCTTCTGATGATGGAAGAATAATTTTTAGAGCTGCAGCTAACGATTATTTCCAAAATCGATTAGTTAGCCGATTATTAAGTTCGATTAATCGGATAAAAAAATCTAATAAAATACATTTTTGAAAAAGGCTCCAGTAATGGGACTACTAGTTTGTATTGAGATTGTAGTCCATCACAGGAGCAAGCTTGGAGCGGTGGAAGTAAAAATGGAATGGCACCGGCTATAGAAGACTACAAAACCCAGCAATAGTACATTACACAGCACAATGCAGAATACCACCATCTATAGAGGAATACAACAAAACCCAGCAATAGTACATTATAGCTGGCAGTATTCTGCATTGCGCTGTACTATTGCTGGGTTTTGTAGTCCTCTATAGCTGGTGGTATTCTGCATTGCGCTGTATAATGTACTATTGCTGGGTTTTGTAGTCCTCTATAGCTAGTGGTATTCGGCATTACACCACTGTATAATGTATTATTGCTGGGATTTGTTGTACTCCTCTATAGCTGGTGGTGTTCAGCATTGCACCACTGTAGAATGTATTATTGCTGGGATTCGTAGACCTCTATACAGCGCAATGCAGAATACCACCAGCCATATAGGAATACAACAAATCCCAGCAATACATTATACATGCAGTGTATAATGTATTGCTGGGATTTGTATTCCTCTATAACTGATGGTACATTGCTCTGTATAACATAAAGTACTGCACAATGTACCATCAGCTATAGAGGAATACAAATCCCAGCAATACATTATAGAGCACCATGTGTGGGAAAGTGCAGGCTTACCTGAGCAGTCTTCCAGCAACTTGCTTCTGAGATCGGGCATGTCTGTCGGCGGCTGCCATCCCCCCCACACCTGCTCCTCCTTACTTCTTCTCCCCACGTACCTGTGCGATCGTGGATGTGGGCGGGCGGTAAGCGTGAGGCGGGGAGGAGGTGCGGCATATGGAGTGTGGATGCAAGCGGGCGGGTCTGGCAGGGGCGAGCGTGAGGTGGAGAGGAGGTGCGGCGCGCAGCGTGTCGGAAGCCGTGAACAGGGCCAACTAATCGGAAGCCGATTAATCGATGATTGAAACAGTTGACAACTTTTTCAATAATCGATTTAGTCGGTTAGTGGTTGCAGCCCCAATAATTTTCAGGCGATAACTAAGCGAGTGAAAATCATCTCCTATAGGCCCAAGCCTGTTGGACTCAATGGTCAGTCTGGCTGGCTATGTGAGGCACACTTGTCATTATTTGTCACTTTGTTGCAGATTACTGACCAAGATGAAGATCATCACAGTGAGCCAGACACAGCCCCATCAGCTCAGTCCAGGCTGTCGGATGAAGAGGAGCCAGATCGAGAAGAGGCTCAGGAAAATGGCAAAAGCGTTTCCTCACAGGTATGGATGTCGGTTCAAAAGTGACGTCAGTTCAAAATACTGTTAGGCAAGCTCACCTGCCAGCTTGTAATATCTTTTGGGGGACCGTCTGTTCCGTTGGGGTGGGTTGAATGCTACAACCAGGGCCATATTTCTGCGCAGCCAGTATAGACTGTGGCCTAGGGCAGCAGGGTTGCCAGAGATGACACACAGGTGCCAGCACATGGAGTTGCTGACAGTTAAGCTGGCCACAGTGGCGTCCCAAGGGAGGTGTGGTCCGCACCAGGGTGACACCATTGGAGGGGTGACACTAAAATGACTTGCAGTCACCCCCCTCTGAAAAGTCGGTCGCTCGGTCATGGACCGAACGCCCGACAGTATCAGGAGGGGACCCGGCGGCATACCTTATGCCGCCAGGTGACTGTCCCCTCCTCTCTCTGCCGGCGTCCATCACCAAGATGGCCGCCGGCAGGTATCAGAAGACTGCCGCGCGTGCGCGATGACACCATGGTGACGCCCCGGCGGGGTGACACTCGGTTAGCGCTCCGGGTGTCACCCAGCCTCGGGGCGCCCCTGGCTGGCCATACACAGTAATGTGGAAAATCTCATCAGAACTTCTATAATGCCGTCAGGGACTTGACAAATTTTGTTTGATTTTAACTTCAGGTATATAAAAAGTTAACCCTTGAAGTGGAGCTACCCCCACACTGCAAAGGATAACTGCTCATTTATTTTTCTAGGGACTGAAATAACCAGACAGATTTTCAAACCTTTCCCCACTCTTATTAACAAAGAAAAAACCTTTTTGGAGATAGTTTTGTTTTTTATTTTTCAGTAAGGATTACGATGGCCGGCCGAAATCCTTTGCTACTTATTTATATTAAAGGGACCCTGTTGCAAAAATGAAATAGTATAAGCCATGTCACCAAGGAGAGTGTGGCCCATGCACAAAACACCACTCTGATCCTGAGAAATTTTCCTCCCTTCCCGAAGTCTGCTGGTAAACCAACACTTCCTTGGTCCCCCACAGCTCTCACTGGTTCCTCCTGCTGACCTCCATGTGTGTCGCAGTGACATGGAGGTCAGCAGGAGAACCCAGTGAGAGCTGTGGGCAACCCAAGAGAGCGACACTCTTGGAGGTTTTGGTTTTCCAGCCGAGGATGGTGCCATTCACTTAGATCTGCAGCTCCTACAGTGCTGTGCACATTATCAGCTATGACACTGGCTACTGAGAGCGATTGGGAGCTGACATAAGCACATTGGAAACTGATAGTTTCACTAGAGACATACATTGCCCATACGCTTGTAGGCAGACTGAATAAAAATACTGTAGAGAACGGCATGTATTTTTAATTATCAATTTAATAACATTTATTAAGTGTTTGTTACTTGAGCTTTCTGTTGGAAAATAGTTAAAGGAGAACTATGGGGTCAAGGCTTTTCCCCATAGTTCTCCTAAGGGTAACAGGAGGACATAAACTAGCGTCCTCCCGTCACCCATAGCTCAGTATACCGCGAACTACAGCTCGCAGTATACTGAGATGCCGAAACGGATCCTGACAATTATGTCTGGATCCGCCCAGCTGCGTGAGTGACAGCTGGCTCTGCCTATCTAGAGGCAGAGCCAGCTGTACCCGTCCCCTCCCCCGTCCGTTCTGCCAGTCAGCGCTGGAGGATCGGAGCGGGGAGGGGGAATCCAGCCCCTCCCCTGTCACGGCTCTCTGCCGCCACAGGATCGAGAAGTGAGCGAGCGCCGGTATGTGTTCGCTCACTTCCTGATCTGAGCCGACCTGTGACAGTTTCATTGTCACCGGTCGGCTCAGATTATGAGGCTGAGTGAAAATCATTCGCCTCATAATTCTCCTTTAAAGCTGAACTCCGGGATAAGCAAATATGGTCTACATACAAGAGGCGCCAGGGATCTTGGTGTGCTTTCTGTGTTTCTTCCAGATCTGTGCAGTAATACTTCTTGTAATAAAGACCAGTCACTTCTGCTCTCTATCCTTGTGCAGGGTGACTGGTCTTGTATCCGCCCCCTCCTGTAGTTTTTTGCAGGCAGCCTGTAGTGGGTGGGGCCTGCTGTGTCCCTCTCACAGCTCTGCTCTCTGTACAGCACAGTGATATTTTCACCACTATATCTGGGTTTGAAGAGACAGTTGGTGTATGTTATGTGTATTTATAACCTTCAGGGGTATTAAGGAATATAGTTAACTGAAAATGTTTATGCCCGGTGTTCAGCTTTAAATTTCTGGGTTCGGTTTTTCTTAAAGGAGAACTATGAGGTGAGTGCTTTTCACTCATCCTCATAGTTCTAGCCGTACGGTGACAATGAGACTGTCACAGGTCGGCTCAGTAGATCGGGAAGTGAGCGAACACATACCGGCGTTCGCTCACCTCTCGATCCTGTCACGGCAGAGAGCCGTGACAGGGGAGGGACTGGATTCCCCTCTCCCCGCTCCGATCTGCCAGCGCTGACTGGCGGAACGGACGGGGGAGGGGGCGGGTACAGCTGACTCTGCCTCTAGATAGGCAGAGCCAGCTGTCACTCACGCAGCTGGGCGGATCCCGACATAATTGTCGGGATCCGCTTCAGCTGCGGCGTCTCAGTATACCGCAAGCTGTAGCTCGCGCTAAAAGCCCTGACCACATAGTTCTCCTTTAAACTTCAACAGCACACACAATGTTTTTTTTCCGAGTGTACTGCTTCTCTACACAAGGCACTCTGCTGTACTGCAGTAAAGCGTGTTCATGTTCTTTCCAGGCTGCACCAAGTAACAAAACAAAGAGGAAGAAAAAGAAGAAAAAAACTAAAAAGACACCAACGGATAGTCAGGTAATGTATGTAATTGCTAACACAAAAACAAAGCAGCCCTTGCTGTGGATATATTTGAACAGGCTGTGGGGACAAATAAGAATAGGGGATGAGTGCAGAAAGTGAACTTGTTCTTTAAGATCGCTTTGATTGTTTGGCCCAAAGGGGTATTTATGGAATGCGGTTTCCCTTAATTCCCATAATTTCAATCTTTGCACAATTTAAATGTTTAAGGGAAACTATAATGATTGTATTAGAGAGGCAGGAGGAGAAGTCACTCCTCTGGATCTTTCAGCTACGTATGGAAATATGAGAATAAGATAGCTTTTAAATGTTACTACAAAATGCAGCTACTGACCTCTGCACTCAACTTGTCTGCTGCTTCTTATTCTTTGTAGGGTCGCCTTTCTTCCCACTTCACCTTGTCCCAAGATTACTGACCCAGCTGTTCAGTTTTAGGGTCCTATGGAGCCCTGTCGCAGCCACCTGTCCGTACGTGCTTAGGGGAGTGGACTACAGCCCAGCATGCACACATTGCTTGTGCAGGCAACCCAGAGGAGTACGAACAGTTGCTTTAATGATGGCATATGTATGTGCGATGGCACTACGAATGATGGAGGAGGGGGATCTGTTGACTTTGAGTGTTTGCTCCTCTATTGTAGCCGGAATTGGGGGAAAAAAAGCATTTCCTCGTGTAATATTTAGGGATGCACCGATATCGGTTTTTCGGTATTGAGTACCGATATTTATATTTCGGTACTTGCTGATACCGAGTACCGGTACGTCCGATAGCATGGAGCCTACTTTCCGGGCAATCAAGAAGCCAGGCAGCGAGTCATTACCCACTGCCCGGCTTCTTGATTGCCCAGGAAGCCAGCTTCATGTTGTTTGGCAGGCTGGATGCTGATTGGCCAGAAAGCCAGCTTCCCAGCCAATCAGCATTGAGCCGGCGGCTTGGCCGCTGACTGGCTTCCTGATTGGCCGGGAAGCTAGCTCAATGCTGTTTGGCCAGCTCCATGCTGATTGGTCAGGCAGGCGGCTTCCCAGCCAATCATTGCCCACGGCCCTGCTTCTTGATTGGCCGGGAAGCCGACTTCCTGTTACCTCGCGGCACTGCCTGTCAGAGGAAATTTCCCTCTGACCGGAAGTTCTGGTATCCGAGGTAAGTATCGGTGCATCCCTAGTTATATTTTACTGTATATTTTGTTTTTAAAGGAAATCTCCAGGAAAAGAAAAAACTTTCCATTGTATTGGAGCTTCCCCATGCACTTCAAGGGTTAAGTGTTCATTTATGTCTAGGGGCTGTTTTACTTACCTTATCCCTGCTCCCGCCATCTCCATCCAATTTACTAGACCGCCTAGTCTAGCTTAGCCTAGCTTCCTCTCTTTGCTACAGAGTACGATTGGCCTCATCATGTCTTATGCAGGTCCGTTGACCTGCATTAGATGTGAGGATGCTGAGGGACATTCCACAGCCAGAGCAGAGAGAGGGATTTTTATTTTTCTGATGATATATTTCTCTGCTTCTCCTCCCACAGCTAGATGGCAGCACAGAGAGTAAAGATGAGCTGGGAGATATTGACAGCATTCTGGAGAGGATAGAGAGTACCAATGGCTTTACCTTCCAGGGACAATCCACTGGTAACACTGACAGCCGGCCTTTACTCTACGTGGAGCACAGGTACAGTATTGAAACCAAGTATGCCCTGTGTCCTGTGGTGCTGCACCTGCTGTGGATCTATTAGTCTACCTTTACTGACAGTCTAAGGCAAGAGGGGGCTGCTGCAACTTGTAGTTCCACAGCTCTGCTACCACCTGGATATGCACCCGTGCTACAATTTGGGGAATGTATTTATATTTATGGGAGTTCAGGCAAAAAGGTCTCACCTCCTGGAGTTATCTGCAGTAAGGGACCGCATAGTGTGCTATTAAGTTTCAGCTTGTATATTATTATTATTATTATACAGGATTTATATAGTGCCAACAGTTTGCGCAGCGCTTTACAATATAAGGAAGACATTACAGTTAATGGACTTTATAAAGGTGATGGGACCTAAATATTTGTATATAAATTATGGATGCCTCTGATTTGAAATGTTTGCCAAAAGACATCTGGTATGTGGGACAACTCATTTTCTAACATCTGGTGTTTTTGTTTGTTCTTTTTTGGTTTTCACTCAGAAATTTGAATCCAGAAACTGAACTGAAAAAATATTTTGGATCACGCGCTGTGATGGGAGATCAGAGGTAAGATATTAGAAAATGTAATATGGTATAATCTGTTTTAAATTCTTGCAGAGGTTTGTGCTCCTTTCCTCACCTCCCCCCTCATGTGCTCTCAAAGTCAGGAGTCACAAAATATAACTGCAGCTCATTTTTTATGTCTTGTTCCTGCTTAGCTGTAGATAACTGCCACACTCCTTACCGAATACCCCTTGTGCTGAAAGGTGGGTGCTGAAGCGACTGCGGATGGCGCTATACATCACAGTGTACATCAGAACTGTCACCAGCACACCAATGGGTGATGTCCAAAATAAAGCGTAGTTTATTCACGCATATTGTCACATCAAAAATGCAACGTTTCGGGGCCACGCAGGGTCCCCTTCATCAGGCATAACATGACGTCATGTTAAGCCTGATGTAGGGGACTCTGCGCGGCCCAGAAACCTTGCACTTTATCACAATATGCGTGAATAAACTACGCTTTATTTTGGACATCATCCATTGGTGTGCTGGTGACAGTTCTGATGTATACAGTTCCAACCTAAACCCACCCTTTGAAGCCAAACATACCTATTTTACAAGGATCTTTGGTCCAGCAATGTAATTGGACATGTTAGTCTAGCGGACGTGCATTGATTTACAATTGACTCTGTATTTTTGCCAATTTGCAGGCTTAGGCAGAGACAGCGACCACATCACAGAAGCACCTGGCTGACGTCTCCAAAGAACACATGGCCAAGATACAGTAAAACAGGTGAGATTAGTACTTTTGTTATATGTGAATTCTCCTTAATTGTTACTTTCTGTTACAGAACACGAGTGCTGTCATATTTCTAAACAACAATCCTTTTAGCTTGTAAGATGCAGCACCATAAACTTGCTTTCTTCCAACCCAGGCATCACTATGAGCCTTTTAGAGACCAAACGTGGGGTCCAGTATTTCACATTCGAGCACCAGCGAGATTACCAGCAAGTCCAGTTCAAGTTCCTAGATGCTGTGGAGTCCATGGATCCCAACAACATAGTGGTGAGTGGCCAGCCTTTGTTGCTCCTGCTCTGCCAGTTTGTTTGCAGCCTCTAACCTTACTCTACAGGGGGCTTAGTTTCCACAGTTTGCACTGATGAGAAGCAGTAAGTGTAATACAGCTGTGTGCTGGTTGGAATGTTGAATTGGATGTGTTAATGCATCTGTGCTGTAGTGTGGCAGCACATTTTTCTTAAATGGGAGGGTAGTGCACCTTATTGCATGAAAAAAGTTAACATGGCTTTTTTCTTTTTCAATTAACACTGTGCTGTGGTGTACTGCAAATTGGGGTGTTGTTAATTACTGTAGTAGTGCTGTTGGGTGCCTTTCAAAAGTAATGGCATTGCAACAACTCATGGATGTGAGTCAACATGCGTTGCTAAATTGCACATCAATATGAATGAGCCCTTAAAGTACAACTGTAGCTCTGGTAATAACTGAATCTGTCCACCTTCCATCTGGTTTCACAGTTTTCTTCCTCCCAGTTCCAGCGATCCTTACTATGCGCCCCGGCCCAGCGCTCCACAGCCTTTCCTCTGAAAGTGCTCCCTCTAGGTTTTCTTGGTGTGCACCACAGCCCCATTCATGGATGTGAGTCAACATGCGTTGCTAAATTGCACATCAATATGAATGAGCCCTTAAAGTACAACTGTAGCTCTGGTAATAACTGAATCTGTCCACCTTCCATCTGGTTTCACAGTTTTCTTCCTCCCAGTTCCAGCGATCCTTACTATGCGCCCCGGCCCAGCGCTCCACAGCCTTTCCTCTGAAAGTGCTCCATCTAGGTTTTCTTGGTGTGCACCACAGCCCCATTCATTCGCATTGGAGTGTCATACCCATGGAGGCAGCCAGCGGAATACAGCTCTATGATGGGAATAATTGGGGCCACGACACACATGTGCACCAAGAAGAGGACCCAGTCGAGATATTTTGAGAGAAAATACTGCAACACTGGGCAAGGCAACCCAGTAGAGATCTCTGGCAAGGGGAGGAAGGTAAGTATGTAACCAGCTGGACTGCACTCAGGGTAGTGAGGGATGCATTAAAGGACAATTTGTATTTAAAGTGCAGTTGTGCTTTAACCTCCCTGGCGGTAATCCCAAGTGTGGCTCGGGGTTCATTTTCAGTACCAAAAGCGGTAACCCCGAGCCACACTCGGGATTACACTGTAGCGTCACTTACCTTGTCCCTACGAGCGCCTTGTGTCCTCCCGCTGTGTCCCCCGGCCGATGCCGGCATCCGGGTTCGTTCGAACCCGGTATCCTTCTTCCGTCCCCCTGTGACGCGGAACCGTCGTGAAATTCAAAAGTGAAAACATGACATACACACAATACGGTGTAATCTGTTATGATTACATTACTGTATCAAACCATTTCACGTCAGTTTTGTCCCTAGAGCTTTGTCCAGTGCCCTGCCTGGAAATTTGACAATGTCCTTGGCATCCAAAAAGCATCTCTTTAGGTCAAAATCGGTTTTATACCAGGTAGAAAACAGCGATAGTATTTAGAATCACTTGCAGAATTGAGCGATAGTGATTCGTGGGGGAATTTGGTTTGATTACATTATTGAATTAAAGGAGAACTATGGGGTCAGTGTTTTTCCCCATAGTTCTCCTTGGGGTAACGGGAGGACACAAACTAGCGTCCTCCCGTTACCCTAAGCTCAGTATGCCGCGAGCTACAGCTCGCAGTATCCTGAGACGCCGCACCTGGAGCGGATCCCGACGTAGATGACGGGATCCGCCCAGCTGCGTGAGTGACAGCTGGCTCTGCCTATCTAGAGGCAGAGCCAGCTGTACCCGCCCCCTCCCCCGTCCGTTCCGCCAGTCAGCGCTGGCAGATCGGAGCGGGGAGAGGGGAATCCAGCCCCTCCCCCTGTCACGGCAGAGAGCCGTGACAGGATCGAGAGGTGAGGGAACCCGGTATATGTTCGCTCACCTCCCGATCTACTGAGCCGACCTGTGACAGTCTCATTGTCACAGGTCGGCTTAGAACTATGACGTGAGTGGAAATCACTCATGTCATAGTTCTCCTTTAAATGTATTATTATTATTTATATTATTTGTTATAATTATTACCGTATATTATAATTTATGATTTTGTGTTTCAAACTTTTATCATACCCGGGATGTCTACTAGACTCTTGTTTGGACAGATTTAAGTGAGTTATTCCTAAGAATTACAGGCCTACAATATAAAACAACACATTTCCATGCAAAACAATGTACCGCTTTGACATTCAAAAATACTGACATAATCAGACCGCCAGTGAGGTTAATGCATCAAAAAGAAAATTGCTAGAAGTTTCCTTAGTGCATAAGACTTGTTACTGATTTATGGTTTTTTTCTTGTCCCTGGGTTAGCTTCTCCTGCAAATGAACCCGTACCATGTAGACTCCTTACTGCAACTCAGTGATGTGTGTCGACTCCAGGAAGACCAGGAAATGGCCAGAGACTTGATTGGTAATTAGCCGCTCTTGCTGTTTTTCCTATGCGCGTGCTGTACAGCAGGTATAGTACTAGGGCAATATCTGATGTATTCCGGTATCTGTCTGTCTGAGGCACGTTATGTCAGTTGCTCACCATACAGGCTAAAGCCCTTGGTTATTTACTGGGTGCTAAAGTGATGTGACGGATGGGGATGGTGCCATCACCAGTACCATTCCATGGTGACATAATCTCTTGACCTGCATTCTTATAATGATTTGGCATTAAACAGCTGGAAATTTAAATTAGAAGTGTTGGAAGTCTTGAGGGGCAGGTTGGAGGTGCTTAGGTGGGCTTACGTGAGGGTCAGAGATCAAGTTTATCATTAGCAGTGTGCTCATGGGCACTGGTTATCCTAATATTAGAGACGACACCAGCTCTAAAAAACATTGTTATCACTGCTCTGCAGCCATATAGTGAGTCATTTTGGTGTCACCGCTCCAATGGTGTCACCCGGGTGCGGGCCGCACCCCCTTGTGACGCCACTGAGCAAAGGTGGTGTCAGGAACATGCAGAGCATCTAAGCTAGCTTCTGAAGGCACTGTGATGGTAATAGTTGATTGGTAACATCAGTAGCCACCAGGAGGTGTCTGTCTGCAGTCGATAGAGTAATTAGACACCATTGATGTTGGCTGCTGGGAGACTCCATATCTCCTCCTTGCCTTAAATCCAGCACAGCATTTTTCCTTGGGGTCCATTGTATATTAACACTGCTCTGCTCTTTTTCCTAACCCCTTCTGTTACCGATAGCCCCATGTACTTGTGCTAATCTGCTTTGCCATGTTGCTCCCTTTACCCTACTATGCTCTTTAGTGTTGTCCATCATTTGATTAGTTATTTGTTGCCTCATTAGTGTTTTTCTGGGCTGTACAGGGCTATTTATAATTTGTCACATGTGTGTTTCTTCACAATACACTGCTACATTGTACGTTATCCAAAGTCAGTATCCCTTTATGGCCTTGGTTCTCAACTGGTGGGTCGTGACCCAATGTTCAGTGGGTCACCGCGTGCCTTCCTCAGCCTCCCCCTTTTGCAGCACTGCCAGTTCTTGAGCCAAACAGCCATTCAAAATATGCAGCCCGGTGCTGAGTGTCAGCTTGAGCTGAGATGTGACTAAGCTCCATCCATACATACAGCTTCTTCACTTGTCCTGTAGAGGTGTCTGGACCAGAGTGATGTCACATTCTGGCTCACAGCACCTCTACAGGGTCCACAAAGGGAGCTGTACAAGCCTTGCACATATGGATGGAGCTCTGTCACAGCAAAGCAGCCCGCACTGCACCTAAGGCTGAGGATCCACTCCAGTTCTGGTAAGGTATGGAGACTGGGTGGATCTTTTTAATTGCACTCCAAATGTACCTCCCACCTACAGTTCGATCACCAGCACGGTACTGCAATGCTGGGCGTTCCATTGCAGTGTGACTTGGGCCGCGACTTAATGACCATGGACAAATGTGGGTCCTGAGGTTACACGGGTTGAGAACCAATGCCTTATGGCTTCATTTATAAACGTTCCGTCCAATGAATAGCCTAAAATAGGCCATTCACGCGACACTATCGCCCCTAGATTGCACTGACAAATATAGGAAATTACTATAGTTGTCGGTGCCATTTAAGGGAGCTAGTGCCGATCTGCCAGGCTATACATCGGGCAGAGCTTTTCAAAATGAACTGCTTACTGTTGTCTACATGCCTGCATGATACCAGTATTTGGTAGCCTGACAGGGGAGTAAATGACGGAACTTTTTACATAACTTTACACCGTGCTTAGTAGGTAAAGCATTTCCTTTATGTAGCTGTTTGACTGGCTTTTAAGGTGACACAAAATGTCTGTATTGCAGAAAGAGCTCTTTACAGTCTGGAATGTGCATTTCACCCTGTGTTCAGCCTTACCAGCGGGAGCTGCAGACTAGACTACCGCCGATCGGAAAACAGGTCTGTTACCTTCCCTGGACTGTATAGTCTAATTAGAGATAAACTATTTTTACATTTGCATGTAAGGTTAGCTTAGCTGGTTTTACAGGCGATTTGCACTTTTAATATCTAAGACTAAAAGAAAAATGTGACATGGGTTTGATGTTTTGCTTTCCACAGAGGGTTTTACTTGGCCCTTTTCAAACACATGTTGTCCCTGGAGAAGAGAGGCTGTCCAAGAACTGCCCTGGAGTACTGTAAACTTATCCTCAGGTGAGTGCACACTTTTGAGACAGCCATTTTAATCTGTGTGGTATCAAGGTACATGTGGCCATAGACCCCAAGGTAATGATTAGTTAGGCAGGCCGGTCATCTGATGGGATCTTTCTGATTGGTTTCATGCATGAGCATGTGCCCTGGAGTCACTGGGGCATTCCATGTTGCTATGCTGGTAGCAAGAGGGACCATGAGTTCTTTTCTGCTCCTATTAGAATGTGCTGCCAGTCAGCATGGCCTAGTGGGGTGGGGTGGGTATAGACACTTTTTAAGGGTGTCTGATACTGGATTTGCATATAAAATTATTCTCCATTGCAATGAAATAGGTATAATTTTCACTGGTTGTTGGAAAGATGTTAGAAGCTCCTGAGTTTAAAGCAAAAAACATATTTTCAATAAACCCATGTGATATCCTGTTTTTTTTAAACTCCACTTCTTATCTCATCAATAAATTTGCAGTTAAAAGTGTATAACACCTTTATCTGCATTAAAGATCTTTAATGTAATGCTGGTGTTTTATCTGTGCCATAGGGCTGCATAGCTTTAAGAAGGGTGTCAATACTTCTCTAAAATCGCTGGTGTCTCCACCCACTGCCCCAACTCTTCGAGCTACTAGTAACCATCACTTGTTTCACTTGACACCCAATTTCATCTCTCCTGCTTATGTAAACATACCTAAATACCTTCCATTCCTGACCAACATCTTACAGCATTTTAAGCAATTACATTGGCTGAACTGAAAAACTAAGATTCTGGCTTCTTACGCAGACTATATGGCGCTGTAGTTAATACCCTAGAAGCTCTGTTTAAAGCACCACTCTAGCCAAAACTTTGGTGAGTTTGGTTTTAGTCTACACAACCCCGCAGAATGTGATTTTCTATTTTAAAAAAACCATGTACAAATCACATATGTTTTTGGCTGGTTAGGTAACTTTCATTGACCTGTTTTATATCATTCCTAATGTTGTTGCCTATCTGTGTGCAGTCTGGACCCAGATGATGACCCCCTGTGTATGCTGCTTCTCATCGATTACCTGTCTCTGCGTGCGCGGGAGTACATGTTTCTCAGCAGGATGTACGAGGAGTGGGAGGTAAGGCTGGCATCACACCGGCTGGTCCATCTTATCACGATGCAGTGGCACAGCAGGGAGCTAATCTGGCTGAAAGCAGGATAAACAGAGCATACAAATATGATTAATCGGGAATGAGTCTATGCAGGGAAGTGCAGCCACAGATTCATGACTACAAACTAGCAATCTGTGTAATTTTAAAGATAACATTGCAGCTTCAAGAAAACATACATACATACATACATACATACGCACACATACTTCCTATGATCTCTTGCAAACAGAAAATTAGCTTTTGCAGCCTTTGTCTTTACAGTGTACAGTTTGTGTTTGGGATAGAATATGGCACGATTGGAACCTTTGTCAAGTTTTTATTGCATTCCTCTGAACACTAAGCTGAACTAAGCTCTAGAGCAGGTGTAAGGATAATAGCCTCTAAAGGAGCTAGCCTCTTTTTTTGTTAATATTGCATAATGTGCAGATCTCCTGTGGGTGGCAGTATATTCACACATATTAAATATATCCATGCTGTGTCCTTCAATGACCCATAGAGAAATTAGATATGCCTCCACCCTGAGAGAGACAGACTGCTGCTAAGAACTTTTTGAGTGGCTTTTTTGATAATTTGCCCCAACGTTGTAGCATTTAGTCTTGTGTCAACCTGTAATTTGTCATTTTAGGCCCACCGGAACCTATCCCAGCTACCGAACTTTGCATTCTCTGTTCCACTAGCATTATTGCAGTATAGCCAGCAGGATGAAGTATCAGAAAATGAGGAGAAAACAGCCTTTGACCGAGCGACAAACCTCATACAGCAAGCACTCATTATGTTTCCAGGAGGTATGTATAATTTTATTACTTGATGTATATGCTGGATTGTAAATAATGTTTTCTTGATTGAAATCAGGACATATAAAAAGTTATCTCCAAGTGGAGGCTTAAAGGGATTTTCTCTTTTATTGAAGGGAGATGATCCCCATTGTAGTTATCTTCCCCTTCCCTATGGATCTGCACTGAGCATCTTCTAGGGGAAATTGGAGCATTCAAAATTGCTTAGCTTTCTCTTATCTTTCACTGTGTAACATATAACATATCACTGGGACATAAGCACCTCTTGTAGGAGTGTAACTAAGTAAAAGTTACTGTCTTCTGTGATTTGCTGTTAATTTCTAGCTAAATGGGTAGTGATAACAGCATTGATCAGTGGGCTGCTTCTGCTTCTGAGGCTGGGTTCACACCTAGGCGTATCAAATATGCGCGTTTGTCGTGCGTTTCGTGTCGCGCGTTTTTACTGCGATTTTGGAGGGCTACATGGCTGTATCCCAATGGATACGCACAACAAAAACACCCCAAAGAAGCTCCTGTACTTCTTTGGGCGTAGGGCGTTTTGTAGCGCGTTCATACGGCCTGTAATATACGCCCAGGTGGGAACCATACCCATAGGAAATAATGGGATTTCGGTGTTTGAGCGTTTTGCAGAGCATAGGAACGTGCTACAAAACGCCCAGGTGTGAACCGGGCCTAAATCCACTGGAAATAAAGTACTCCGGTTTCCTTCCACACTCCAAAGACTTGCTGGAAGGTTAATTGGCTCCTGTTTATCTTGGCCATCTATGCAAGTGAGATAGAGACATTAGATTGTAGGCTCCTTGAGAGCAGGAACTGATGTGAATGAGCTCTATGTAAAGCGCTGTGTAAATTGTCGGCGCTATATACCTACCAATAATAAATTCCTAATATTTTACTGCGTTCCAGTTCTTAGATGTGGTGGCTACATTTATTTATTTTTCCCTTTATTTGCACTAAGTAATCCTGTCAGTAACAAACTTACTATCCTGGGGTGACCACACTCACTCACTGTACTGTATCTATGGAGAAGCAGCGTAGACAGGATGTGTTGGGAAAATAGAACACCTTCCCTCTCTGTAGCAGGAAAGTGATTTTTTTAGTGCACACAGGAGAAATAGTCAGGGCTGATTAGAGTGCTTGAGATAATGCGGTAACATCCACAGAAAGTTTGGAGCTCGCTGAGTTTCTGGCAGGAATGTAATAGACCAATAGGGAGCAAATAAGAGAATTGCATTGTTAGGATTTACATACCAAATAATTCAAAAGAGCTCTGCTTGAGCTTCCTACATGCATGAAGAAAACATTGAAACAATGGGGTGTAGTATTGTTAGAGTGAGTGATGGCATTTGCTGTATTCTGCAGGGTATGGTGGCTTATTTTTAATTATGAAGAACGGTCACACTCTGGTTTGTGACTTCTTTGTTTTAGGTCTGAGTCACGTTTTCTGGCCTCTTTTATCGCTTAGATTGGACATCATATTTAATTGACTTTTTCTGTATATTTACCTCCTTTTTAGTTCTTTTACCACTTCTGGATGCCTGCGGAGTTCAGCCCGATAATATTGTAGCTTCTCATTCATTTTTTGGAACTGTTGCCCAACTAAGGTAAGTGTTTTGTAATGGCTCTTAGATAGTAAAGATTTAAACAGGCCAGCAGTATTGTGCATCTGGCTTGTTCTTTACAGTGAGCAGCTCTAAGTCATACAAAAATATTTTTGCATCCTGGTCTAAATGAATGGTCTGTGCTTCTATCTAGGGTTGCACAGATACCAAGTACAGTACTCGGTACAAGTACGAGTACATGTACCGATACTTTTGAGCTCCAAGACTACACTAGAGAAAAATTCAACAATTAGGAGGCAGCTGTCATTTGTAAGGAGCACACGGAGCTCCTGGGATTTGTACATCTCTGTTTTAATGTATGATTTTGTTTTTATAAATAAAGGGATGCACAGATACCATTTTTTCAAGTACTGGTACTTGCCGAGTACTTACAAGTACGAGTACTGATACATTTTTGTTTATTGTCATGTGACAGTTTTTCTAAAGCAATACAGACTAATGGTTTCAGGACAGTGGTGGAGTGCCAGAGCCAGGTCCCCGCTGCAACCGCCGCAACCCTGGTAGTTCTCATGAAAATGCCAAGTATCTGCACTGGTTGGTACTCGAAAAGTATCTGTGCATCCCTACTTCTATCCTTTAAAAAGTACATACTCTGCAGAATACAAACATGTCAAAAAGATGCTGGGGATGCCTTAGTGTGCAAAACTTTCTTCCTCTTCCTAGGGACTGTGTGTAATATTTGTTCATCAACAGCTAATGAATTTCGCTTTGCCAGTGGGAACATTTTTGAATATTAAGGTTTTGCCTATCCGCTATCAGCGGGTACATAAAATAATTACTATGATATTTCCACATCTACAGCATGGCAAAGCAAACTTGTACTGCACTGTTTGCTGAATCCAGAGTTCTATTTTAAGATGCGGCTTGTTTAGAGGAAAGAATAATATTTCCTAGGTGATAAGTTTGGATTTGCAGAACAAATCCACTGCAACGACTGTACATGAATTCACTATTTATAAAACTATAATAATAAAAATAATATTATAAACTATAATAATATTAAAAAGAAAATGTGCTGCTGTTTTCAGGCTAATTGTATTACTTTTGGTTTCTAGTGTATTATACGTGGGTGGTGCAGGGTTCAGCATGGTGTATAGGTTTGCAGTTGTACTAAAAAATGTTGCAGACAAGTGCCGTGTGCATTCTCTACAGAAATATAGAAGGGAATTTATCAAAACTGGAGCAGACAAAATCTGGAGCAGCTGTTCATGGCAACCAATCAGCTTCTCTCTTTCATATTCAAATCTTAAAGGGTTTCATAACCCTCCGACTTTTTTGCATATATCTACTGCTAGTAAGCAGTAGATATATGTAAAAAGTTTTTTTTTTTAAACCCGCTTTAAAAGTGGTTTAAACTTACCGCTGTCTTCGCCGCGCGCTCCCGTCCGAAAATCCGAAACTGCTCGGGTGGCTGCAAAGCATCTTAGGGCGGGCGCATGCGCAGTTCGGATTTTCGGCCGGGAGACAAGGAGAGACGCAAGGTAAGTCTATGGACGCGTGCTCCCACATACACCGTGGGACAGGAAGTGCCAGCAAGGACAGAGGTCTCAGCGCTGGATCGGAGACCCGCAGCAGCGCTGGAGAGAAGGCTGAAAAAGACAGGAAAGAAGAGGAAGATCGGATTAGGAGACATCATTTAAGGTAAGTGTTATTGGGGGGAGGGAAACATTTTTTTGACTTTAATGTCACTTTAACTGAACAAACTGAAGAGAGAATCTGATTGGTTACCGTGCCAGCTGCGCCAGATTTTGTCTGCTCCAATTTTGATAAATTCCCCCCATGGAGTATGATCTTTGTATAATCTAATTTTTAGTTATCACTGTAAAGCGCTGTGTTTAGGTTTCCAGTGGAGGGGTTCGTGGTTCATTTTACATGTCTCTTTCTTTATAAAATACCTGCTTTGTGTGTGAGATCTTCCTGTACCACTGCTCCTAATTACCTTTGGTTGTTGGTGTGGGTGGTCAGCACTGCTTTAGTCTTCCTGCTTGTTCTGGGCATTAATCAATAGCACATTGTTCCAATCCGTTTTTATGCAGCCAGCCTGCAGCCTTGTCACAACTGATCTCCCTGTATGTGGGACGGTGTCACAGCCTGTGGAAGGAGCCTTCGGTTATGTCCTGGCTGGAGCAGAACGTCAGTGAAGTTCTCCGCATGGTGGACAATAGCGAACCTATTGTGAAAGAGTGCGATATGAGGTAAGTGGAATGCAGATGTATATTCAATTATTAAATTCACATAAAAAACATGTGTGTGCGCACGCATATATATAATAAACTTGGAGGACACCGCTTACCTAAGTTCTGACATTTAGCTTGGCTGCCTATCAAGCTAAATATCCTTGTTGTTAAAATATAGGACAGTATGTTCTCTGGTACCAGTACCTGCCTCCCTCTGAAGTTCCTGTAGAAGAGGGCATGTTCCTTTTCTGCTAGTAGAGGGGAACAGGGTCTATCCCTTTTCTGTTAGCAGAGGGGAGGGGGGTCTCTTCTACTAGAAGAGAACACGTCCCTTCTCTGCCAGCAGAAGGGGTGAGGAAATGCACCCCTTTACTTACAATAAAGGGGGAGGTGTGTTTGTTGGGCATGCCCCTCATCTACCAGCAGAGGGGACAGGGGTCTGCCCCTTTCTTAACTCAGCGAGGTATTTATTTAGCACAAAAGCTGCTGAGACTTCAGCTGCTGAGTATTGCATAGAGCTCTGGTGGCTGTAAGTGGTATAGCATATATACAAATCATATCCCAAAGGGATAATCTGTATATAAATGACATGATCAAATATGGAATGGGAAGCAAGTGAAGATGACTGTCATGTCAAAAATTACTGAGGTAAACGTGAACAGCGGCTCATAATACGGACACAGAAAACACCCAGCAGTGTCCATTTGAGCAAACTTGTTTTCCCTTTACAGCTCCAGAGGAGGAAAGCTTGACAACAGAAAACAGTCAGGTCGGTTTCACTAGTAGCTAAAACTGTTTTGTTTGATACTATTTGGAGAATAATAATCGAAAACTTCCTCCTGCATCTCACACCGCCACTAACCAGGCTTAGCAAAGTGTAAACAGGCCAGAACAAAAGCCTACAGATAACATAAAAAGCTTTATGTTTGGCCAGAAATAGCATCACCCTGTGCTATGAAAACATGAAAGACTTGTGATTGCTTGGCTGATACTTCTCTGCTTTTCCCATTGCCAGGAGGAAGATTCGCTATCAGAGCGCCCCCAGGAACATCCATCGTCATGTCATCTTGTCTGAGATCAAGGGAGCAAACTCTGCACTGCCAGTGGTGAGTGAAAGGCCTCTGTGTGTCTCCCTGCACTCGTCTCTCTCTCATCATTTTTGTTTTACAGAGATCCTTATATTCATAATGTCACAAGATGTAATTATCTCCTGGTGTACATGTGCGTGTTTGTTACTTCTTCACCGCTAGGGGGGCAGAGCAATGTGAATGTATGGGGCAACATTTCACTCTGGCTTGCAGCCTCTCTTCCAGGTGATCATGGCAAAAATTAAAGTATGTAGTAACCGTGGTGGTTGAATAACAAAATTAAAAAACCACTAAACCATTACTCACAAGTGTATGTAAACCACAAACCCATTCTCAGAACAACTAATTAAGCATACCAAAAAAAAAAAATCTAAATCATATATTATTATTCAGGATTTATATAGCGCCAACAGTATGCACAGCGCTTTACAATATAAGGAAGACATTACAATCACAAGACAAGATGGTAAGGAGGGCCCTGCCCCTGAGGGCTTACAATCTAAAAGATATATATGATGAATTCTGTAACGAGTTTATGAAAAAAATATTCATGTTAAATTATATGTCATAAAAAAAAGTGTACAGCAGTTTAAAGCAGAAGAAGAGGGACACAAATAAAAAATTGCTGGGAGTTCGGCAAAAATCTTCCTCTCTCCCCCTGCAATTTATTTATTTTCTGTGTATACTGTAAGGTGCATGCACCGTGCCATTAACACACTCGGCCTGTTCACAGTATCTGTTAGAATGGGCTGGGTGCCGGGAAGGATGTAACTCCTGTGCGCATGCGCAGGAGTTACACCATCACTAGCCACGCAGTGGCCGAAGATCATGCCGAAGAATCCCGGAAGTGTCAGCGGTAGAGTTGGCGGCAGCCGGGGGACATCGCTGAGGACCGAAGATCAGTCTGACAGATCTATAGAACGGCACACTTGTAAGGTAAGTGTGGCCTAATGCACAAGTATGCTGTACATACTTGCACATTAGGGAAGAAACCAATCCTTCAACAGTTGTTTACCTCTGCTTTAATAGAGCACACCCTAAAAAATGTATACTATTAAATAAAAAATATCCTGTGAAGTAAACACTGCCTGGCCAAAAAATAGTCACACACTCTAATATTTTGTTGGACCTCCTTTAGCTTTGATTACGGCACACATTCCGACTCTCCCATCATCACTACAAGATCTTGGGGAAAATGAATGCAACTCTGGATGGAAATAAATGTTGTCACAGTGGCATCATTTCAATAAGCTTATGCATTGGGACAACGTTTATTTCCATTCAGAGTTGCATTCATTTTCCCCAAGCTCTTATAGTGATGATGGGAGTCGGACCTCTGCATAAAGTCTTCTCCAGCACATCCCTAAGATTCTCCATGGGGTTAAGGTCTGGACTCTGTGGTGGTCAATACATGTGTGAAAATGATGTCTCATGCTCCCTGAACCACTCTTTCACAATTTTAAACCCAATGAATCCTGGCATTGTCATGTTGGAATATGTCCGTGCCATCAAGGGAGAAGTAATCCATTGATGGAAAAACCTGATCATTCAGTACATTCAGTTAGACGGCTGACCTAATTTTTTGGGGACATAACATTGCTGAACCTAAACCTATTATCCAATGGAAGGCTCTTACCTATGTGCTTAGCTAATTCCAGGTGGTGACTTTTTTTGGACAGGCAGGGTGTAACAGGTGCATAAAAGTTACCAATAATAAACAAAAACAATTGTAGCAATGATTAACAAACCTGTGATCTTATGAACAAATAATGTGACAGCCCAAAATATAAGTGGAACATTTTATCTGCACTGTGACATAAAAACAATCCTTCACTCTATGCTTGTGGACAATGTCAACGCCCTCTCCCTCCATGAACACAAATGACTCACCAAAAATAAATGACCTTTTACAAAAGGTGTGCACATGGGCAGGTAACATTGGAGCCCCAGCAGTGGTAAAACTACAAAACCCATCATGACTGCTTTTGGAAGTCATGCCCGTGACTGTCACAGTCTTTCAAAGCCTCATGGGGCTTGTAGTTTCTCCACAACTGGAGTGCCGGAGTTGCCTAACCCTGGTCTACAGCGCTTGGTTGAAGGAACACTCTGCGTGCCACAGGTATCCTTTGGAAAGTTAACTTTATTTTTTTTTAAAGTTTAGATAGAGTGGGGGGATAGTTAGACCCCCTGTCAAGTCTTTATTGTTGTCCGAGTCCCCATTGTAGAGATTTACACTCCCTTTGTCCTGGTGACTATTGTCACTGAGAAAGAAAGTGAAAATCCAAACATTTAGGGTTGTCACCAGAGCAAGAAGTAATGGAAAATCCTTTACTGGGGCACTTTAGTATGACATCATAAATAACTTGCTTGGGGTTTTTTTCCCTTTCCTGCTCTATCCAAACCTGGCTGTCCATACACTTAAAGGAGAAATATTTGAATCGAGCCCCAAAGTGACTTCACTGTAATAGTCCAGCAAAGCTATTCATTCATTTCTCTGTAGGTTGAGATGGCTATATTGCAGCTGTAGCTTTATCCTATTAATGTGTTTGTGTACCTTGTGTCCAGCAGTTTCCTGGAACTCTGTATGGTACAAGCAGATCATTTCATTCATTGCAGGTCATGTTTTAATGTTTACTGTGCATAATATGAATGAGCCTGTTTTTTAGATCCCCCTTTCAGAAGTGAAACCATCATCAATAGAAATTAATGCTTGCGTGTATTATGAAAGCAGTTTTATGGGTCCCAGACACTGACCTGCTTTGTACAGCCGTGTCCTTTGCCATGATAATGGCTTCTGCATGCTTGTCAAATAGTAAATCGATTGTCAGTGTAAAGTTTTGTTGAACTCTTTTTTTTTTTTAATGGTGTGTGGTTGATGTTGTCCCCGCAGGAAGTGACGTCACAACCTGTACTCAGCTTCGACCCGTTACCTCCGCTGGATTCTATTGTGTCTTATACAAGACCTGAAAGGTAACCAAGTTCCTTTAATTGATAAATGCAAAACGAATCCTTGAGCTAATGTGGATTGGTTCCCAATAATAGGGCTAAATTTGCATCCAGTGTGACCAATGTGAGCTTGGCTCACAGTGGTAGGGGTAAACATGCAGATATTAGGGGCCAAATGATTGGTGCCAAAGTGCTTGTTCTGGTTGAAAGATCACCATGACGGATTATTTAATTTATATATCACTGGAAAAATCCTTGTAGCATAGAACATTAAATCTCTTTAACATAGAACATTGGGCTATTTACAACAACAGGAACAATATAAGCTTATAATCCAAAGTTGCTACCACAATAGTCAAGATACTGACTCTTGGGAAAGTCCTTCCAGTATGTTTGTGGGAGAAAATCCACATAAAGAGAATGTGAAAACTTCAACTGGGGAACCTAACCAAGGACCTTATTGCTTTAAAGTATTATTAAACTCTCAAACTGTTTTTCAATAATGAATCCAGATCTAACAAATATACATTGCCCAGCAAAGTAGTGCTTTACATTTTTGCCCAAACACTTACAATCATCATGTTTCTGCTTCTAAGTATCAGCTAAGCTTCCTGTCCAGTACAAGATCACAAAGAACAGAGCAGACTCCAAGCTTGGAGAAGGGAGGAGAGGAGGCCAGGAGGGAGGGGCGTAGCTTAATTTGCTGTGTTTGTGGAGACACACACAGCTTACTAGTGCATACAAGGGTGACTGCATAGCACTTTGCTTGAGAAAGGAGTCACTCAAACAGGAAGTCAGGAACAGTGCTCAGGGGACCAGCTGATTCTGCAGGAAACTAAAACTTTTAAACATCAAGAAGCAGCATCCATTGTAAGTGATTTAATTTGAAGTAGCTTAAAGTAGAATTAAACTCTCCTCCTTTTTTTGCATATATCTACTAGCACGCAATATATATATGCAAAAACATTTAAAAAAAATAAAAGTTACCAAAAAGGTAGAAACTTAGCTGTTTCTCCGCTCCTCGCTCCCGGCTGAAGATCTGACGCTTCTCGAGCAGCCGTGCAGGAGGATGATGGGGCGGGCGCATGCACAGTAGAGATCATCAGTCGGCAGAAGAGGAGAGACACAGCGGAGGTGAATGCACGCAGCCCGGAGCGTGCACTTCAGACAGACACCATGGGACACGAAGAGTCTGTGCTGGATCAGAGACCGGCACCAGCGCTGGAGGGACTCCTGGATATAAGTGGAAGGAAGAAGATGATCGGATCAAGAGGCATCTTTTAAGGTAAGTCCTTAAAGCAGCATGGGGACCTGTAAGAGATACTGAACTGAAGCAGAGAAAAATGTAGGTCCCCTCCCCTGCCAGACAGGGCTGTGCTGTGTGGCAGAGTTGTGTAAATCTCAGAACTGGATGCACAGAAATACAAATCTTTGGCAGGTAAAACAGCTCCCACATATGTATTTCATCTTTGTATTTAACTGCTTTCCTGGAGTTCATTTAAAAAAAAAACATGAATATAATAAAAACTGACCCAGATTGTTTTTGGCTTAATTTATTTTGTTTCTTTTCTCCCTCTTTTTAGAACACATCAACCATCTAATGAAGGAACTCTTTCTCTGTTCTTTAGATCTCTATTGCCAAATTTTAACTTGCAGGTAGGTTTTAGAACTTGTTACATTTGCATCATTCAAGAAGCCTTTCACGGCCAGCCCAGTGGGATGTGCCACACTCTATGGAGACCACAGTATCTATTCTACATTGGGTGCAGTGTGGATACTTGGATTTGCAGTTATGAAAGGGCAACAGTTGTAAGGAGGGTTCAGACAGCGTATGTTTTGAGCAACTTTGCTTCTCTGCCTCTCTGTCATGAAAAAAAAACCTATTCTTTTATGAGATCATTTCAAATTAGATGTCTAGTGTGAAAAGCTCTATAAGGGATGGTGTTATTCCTTATGGTGTTATTAGGTTGTTGAATAGGAGCCCAAACAGGCATTGTGCTTTTGCCATGATAAACAGTCATCCCACTTGTAGGAGTAGACCGCCCTCTAGATTAATAAACAATAGAAGTCTATCTAAAAACCTTTTTGGATAGGGAAGGGTTTTTATTGCTCTCTGTATCCCTATTGTTGAGGTTGGCTCTCTTTCTGTCCAAGGTGGTACCACTAATGGGAGGTGAGAACTCCCCGGGGGAGTCAGACTGCACCAGTAACCTAACAGAGGTTCTAACCATTTCTCTTTCTATTAAAAATGTTTTTATTGCTGTCTGTATTCATTTCCCCTTGCTTCATGACCCCGGTGGCACCTGTCGGCAGAACAGGATGTGAGAGGAAATCTCCCTATGGGGAAATTCACAGAAGTAAAAACACAACAGAGCGTATAAACCATCCCCACTCTATTCTAAATAAAACAAGAAAAACAGTTTCAGGAGGCTTCTACTTTACTATTGACGGCCATAGTATTTGGCACCCCTGAACCAAGCCTAGCAGTGGTGTCGACATGGGAGCTCCAGAGTATAATATCTAAGATTACCATTTACTATACCTTAGAAAAGGCCTAGTAAAGGTAAAATATAGATTATGATCAGTGAGCACATATTTTAGGTTGTCTTTACAGTGTCGCTTTTATACTAGAACCCAGCCAAAGGAATCGTTTGAAAGAAAATGAGTTATATCCACCTCTCTGGCTGACAGTGACTAAATTCGTAGCTCACTTGCAGAGGTCTGGATGCTTCTCGGTGGAGGACACACTGACACTTCTGGGTGTGGCATATATTGTGCCCTCCACCGGGCGCTGTGGTTTGTTCCCAACACATCACTAGTGTTCTGTAGTGACAGCAGCTGGCTGGAGGAACTACAACATATGTTGCTGTGGAGGGGAGAACCACCGGAGTGATTCACCTGCACCCCTATACTCAGAAGGCTTTTTCCTTCACTCCAGATGGCTGAGCACAGAAAAGGTGACTATGTACTTCAGAGGGGGGTTGCGGCATTGAAGCAAACCTTTTGGGGAAACACAGGCTCATTTAACGTACAAAATACTACATATCCCTGTTTTTTGAAAAATGCACCAACCAACTAAAGTGTGTACCAGCCACATAACCACATGACGAGTGAGATTCTAAATTGAAATGCGATTCCATGCAGTAAATTGTCTGTACTGAGGGACTGAAACAAGAGGAAGGGGTTCACAAATAACACAGTAATCTTGGTTTTGTTTTGCAGGGGGAGGCTCTGCCGGAGGGAGAGAACGCAGGTGCTGCTCAGGATTTGAATCGAGGTGTGAACCGGCTCATGGCAGCCATGCGGGACATGCTAGCAAATATCCAGTTTCAGGAACCCCCGAGAGAAGACAATCCAGATGAGGAAGTAGATGGGGAATGGGACTGACTTTTTCCCCTTTTCTAGCACACTTGTTAAATAGTGAACCTGTCATGACAAAAATTATTGGTGCCATTCCCAACTCCTTTTTGAAGATGCTGGTTCCCTAGTTTTCTTGCTCATCCTATAGCTTCATTAATTGTCATTTGGCTGCAACCAGTATGTTTCCAGTGAAGTCTTAACTTTTGAGCTCTGTCCTTGTAATTTGTCATGGAGTCAATTTGACACACCGCCAGAGGATGAGAATGACAAGCACCAGCTTCAATAAGTTGACAATGGCTGTACCTTTTTCCTTCATGACAACATTAAGCAAATTGTACAGTCAAATTAATATAAATAGAAAACATATACTGCCTGCTGCTGGGGTGTAATTATTTGGATAAAGTGCTGGACTGTGGAACTAACTTGTAAGAAGTATTTGATCCTTATGTCCTTCAAGGGACTAGCCCCAGATATTCTCATTAAGGATGTTACTGGTGGTAAGAGCACTCATCTTCCCCAGAGGAAGAAGCCTAAAGAGCAGACTGCAAAGTCCTCTCTCTCCCTCACTGTCAGACAACATCCCTTTCACATCTCCACTCCCCAGACATTAGTGTTGAGACCCATGAATGCTTGGCTCCCAGTCCACTTGCAAAGTCTGGCATTCCAAGCCTGCCAAATACGCAGACTCCAGCCATCTGCAACGCAACATTCTGTCATTGTGAGACAAATCTGCCCTCCTTCTGGACAGCTGTTTCAGTTGATGCCAGGACCAGGGAATTCCTGGCTTGTGGGCTCAGGTATCTGGCTCTACAGTTCTAGAATTAATTTTTTCCCATCTTTTGGAAGTTTCTCATAATGGACACCAGCCTGTTGGGATGGGGAGTAGTCCTGAGCACCTTATCAGTACAGGAGTCTTAGTCATCAGATGAATCACGTCTCCTGATAAACATCCTGGCACCTCGGGTGATTTGGTTGTCCCTTTAGCATTGGACCAACCTGTTGGAGGGTCATCCAATCCAGATTGTCAGACATGAACCATCAGAGAGCAACCGAAAGTCTTGTTGCAGCAAGAGTGGTAGGGCAGATCATGTCCCAGGCAGGACTTCACTTCTTTCCTCGTTAGCTATGTACAATCCAAGCATAGAAAGTTGGCATGTAGATTTCCTCAGCCAGCAGTGCTGGGGACCTGGGAGAGTGGTCTCTGAAGCTGGAGGTCTTCTAGGAGGTGGGGAATGCCGGATGTGGAACACCTTGCTTCCAGGTTCCAGGCACACTGGTTGAGAAAGGCTGCTCCATAAGCACTGTGAGATCATTAGGATTTTCTGTCCCAAGGACCAGTTTTTAATCCTGCTTCTCAGCCACTGATTGGGGAGGTCTATAATTGGACATGTAAAGTTCCTCTCAATTTCTTTCTGGTAAAACTTGCAGAAAGTGAGGATAAATCTCCAATAGATCTGGAAATCAGCAAAAACCCTTCCCTAATTTACTAAAAAAAAGTTTTGGCAGGGCATACACTTTAAGGACCTGGGATGTATGTCCTAGAGTCCTTCCCTGCTGAGCCCAAGCCCACAAGTGTTGGTGCAAGGTTCTGCTATACGTTTAACAGGCAGGGTCCTGCACTGGGCATCAGGGCTACTATCCACAGATATTTTAGTTTGTTGAAATGGACACAAACACTCATACATTGTATTGTTTGTGACTGTTATAGAAACTATCATAGGAACTAAAGGCATATGTGTTTATAACCCTGGAGCTGAAGAAACTCAGAGGGCCCATTACAATATGTGTTGAAATCGCCCTCAGGGTTTCCTTTAAGGCCACACTCCGGGCAGATTGATGATTTATATGCCACATTGGGTGTGTAAATGATCATAAAAAGCTGTGTGTTATGTGTAGAGGATGGCTGCGAAGTAAAAACAATATACCTTGAACCCTTTACCCCCAAACAGAACACCCAACTTCCGGGCACTAATGAGAGGCAGCGATGTGTCCTGAGCTATACAGCGCTCTATGCGCATCACCCTTCTCTTTTCACTATCCTCCATACACAAAATGTCTTGACATTTTTTCAAAGATTACAAGACATTCTGTGATGGAATGTGACATCATCTCTCCTCCTCCAATCAATGAATGTCTTGTGTTTATTAAAAAGAAATTCCATTTAAAGACCGTGCATGTACAGAAAACATCTGTTGATCTGCCAAAAATGCACTCCACTCCTAAGTCCTGTAGTGGAGTGACCACACACAGTATTTTTGTGGACTGAATGTTGTCAGATCTGCCCAGTTTTTTTTTCTTGCCAAACTACTTGGATAAACCTGCACTCCCACCTTCACATCATAAAGGCTAATCATTCTGAAGTCCCAAGATAAACATGGGAGGGCTAATTACTGTCTTTAAACAACACAGGAAGTGTGCACTGGACACAGAGCAGCTCTCAATTTCTGACATGATCATCAGTATTGCTTTGCACTTGTTAAACAGATATAACAAAATGTTTCTTTTGTGTTGTGGGCCTCATCCCCACAAGATAGAAGGGGGTGTGTTCTGTAGTCCTAGATAAGAATAGGGAGGGATAATTAGACTCCTTGAGATAAGACAGGAAAAGGGCACCGGACAGCTCTAACTCTGAGAAAATAAATGGGTGTTTTGTACATTTTCAAAAGATACAATTCTTTCAAATGGTACAGTAAACTCCCTATTATCCAGCATTCAGGCAACCTGCACTCTCAAGCAACCGGCAAAAAAAAAATCGAGGACATATATGTTCTCTATTTTTTTTTGTAATTATTATTTATTTTGTGCCGGCGGCTTGATGCACACTACAGAATTGTCAGTTGCTTGGTGCACGCTAAAAAAAATCTGTTTACATTCTGCTGTCGATGGTGGCTAGATTCCACGGTCGGCAGCAGAATATATACAATGGGGAGCAATAGCGAGCCTGCTATTGGCTATTTCAAATTGCAATAGCAGTCTGGCTATTGTACCCACCCCCTGAGCAGAGGAGCGGACCTGAGAGAACTTTCTCTCTTCGGGCTGCTCCGTGGGTGAGGCTTCAATAGCCAGCCTGCTATTGACTATTGCAATTTGAAATAGGAAGGGAAAGGGGGGGGAGGGGGGGGGTATTTGCTTGAGAGTTACTATTAACCAGAAACCACAGTTATCTGGCACCTACCAATCCCCGTGGGTGCAGGATAACTGGGAGTTTACTGTATATTTAACAGGCCAGAAGGGAGCAAATAAGAGAAGCTCATTTTAGGGTTTCCATACACTTTAATAACTTTACATTCCAAAATGGTTCGTGCAACTTCTATTTTGTAACCGTTTTTTAAGGAAACTGCAGTTATCAGCGTCTTTGTGGGTTGGGTAGGGGCTGTAAGGATGTGGCTTCTGTCCATCCGTGCGAGTGCTCTGCAGCCCCATGAAGTATTGAGCGTGTTAATAAATCTCATGTGAGCTGCAGCAATCTGCAGAATATGATTCACTTACATGTTCAGCGATGAACTGTGCTGACTATTACCAGCGTCTGGGAACACTTGATTGCTATCACTTTGCTGCTCCTGGCCTTTCAGGAAACCAACACACTGTGCTTCATAGAAATGTTGAGAGGATTTGAACTCAATTCGGTGGTTAAAGTGTATTTGCAGCCAAATTTGAGAAACTGCCACTTTGTTTTACCATTCACACAACATACCTAAAAATATGTCTTACCTTTCTATCTGTTTGAGCAAAAGTTTGAGCAATTTCTGTATTCTTTCAATGAGCTCTAAAACATCATGGTGTTTTGTATGCGATAGCTTCACTTCAAACTCACTTTACATATTTTTAATATACAAACTGAATATTGTTTGGGTTCGGACACTGCCCTTTTTTTAATGAATGGAGTTATTCAGTATTCAGGTTTAAAAAAGGTACAGCGAATTTTGTATTTTGAGTGTTCCTTCCATTATCTATTATAATGTTTAAAGTGACATTAAGCCCTCAGATTTTCTAACATAAACCAATATTGTAATGTGCGCCTTACTGTGATCCATGGTTGTTTCCCTTCTCTTTGCTGCTCTTCCTTTTAAATCCGTATCTCTTCTCCTGCTGGGGGGAGAACTTCCCTTTGCAGCTGAGTGCCTCTTCTTGTAGTGCTGGCTCAGGTTGTGAACCTACACACAGACACCATGTATCCATTTCAGAGACAAGGCAGTCTGCTGCAAAACAGAAGTTCTGCCCAGCATGAGAACAGATACAGATTTAAAAGGAAGAGCAGCAAAGAGAAGGGAAACCACCATGGATTACAGTAAGGCACACATTACAGTATTGTTTTATGTTAAAAAATCTGAGGGTTTAATGTCACTTTAAGTGATTAAGCAATCAGAAAACAAATGACACACAGATACAGTATTTAAAGCTGAATAGCAGGTATAAGACACAAATGAATGCAGTTCTTTATTCATTATTAACCCCTTCATGACTGAGGCCCTTTTTTCATTCATTCCACATTTTAGGCCTGAAAATGACTTAAAAACCCCAACATTATATATTTTCTGAATGCCAAGACCCTATAGAATAAAATGGTGAAGAAGCAGCTCAGGCAGCCAACCAGTCTAAGATGAGTTTATTACAGTGCAGGTTCTCCTTTATTGTCTAGTCATAGGCTGGAGGCGGGTCCATGACAGTCTGGAAGATACCTTCATAAAAAATAATGGCATGTATAAGATGTATTAATGAATTATGTATAAGTAGATACCAATCAGTTAGACACCAAACACGCCTATATTACAATGTCCAGAGGCAAATAATACACCTTAGACCTCCTAGAACCGTTTACCCACACAGTAGCCAACTTCACATGTTATAATGGAAACACACTCTGTTCATAACTTCTAGAGTCCACCTGATCTTTGGTAAAGTGCAGCGTTTTCTGTTATTTCCAAGAGTCACTGGCCCATAGAAATGACTCTTAAGGTGCCCATACACCGTAACGTGTGAATGTAGTGCCCGACCGACAGTACTGTACAATCGTACGACTTGACTGTCAAGCATGTTTGAAAACTTTGGTCGATCATACGATGTTCGCATGGTTGGTGGCGTTTCCGTCCATCAAAAGTTGTACGATTAACACTGCGCAAGCGAAAACAATTACGGTCAATTACCGCAAGTCGTCCAGGTGTTTGATGTATATGTATGTATACATCCATCTGATGTATATTTCTCCTAAGAGGTCTGATTAGCCTTCTGAACCTTGTAATATAGGCTTGTCTAACTGAATGGAAT